GACACACAAAAATTACATCTTGGCTTCTAGATTTGTCAAAATAGTATCTAAATGTAAATACTAATGATCTTGACAATATTTCAGTTTTCCTGATAGATGTAATTTAACTACTTTAAAAACATCATCAGAGAAATATTATTTTATCATGTGCATTACAAATAATCCTATCTCACAATTCAAGAAATGCATTTCTAAAATATTGAAAAATATTACTTAAGCTAAACCAAATCACTTATCTCTAATATTCAGCTTTATAATTCTTTATATAAAGAACTTGTTTAGAAAAATATTTTTGTACTGCTTGCATCATAGAAAGTAATGACTAATCCTAAACAAATTAAAATGTTCCCTTTTAGCGGACTAGAAAATAATTTAAATCACTGGTTAAAAAGCAAGATTTCTGAAGAAAAAGTTCATGAATGCATTTAGCAATTGCAATTGCATTTAGTCACTCCTAATCCTTTTAGAAAGCTACTGTATTTATATAACTATTGTTCAATAATCTATGCCCTTTGTTCTACCCTATCACTTCAGTTGATGAATTAATTTTCCAGTTCCTACTCACATACAATTAGCTTTCACTGAAAGTTAAAATAGATTTATTTTTACCAACTCTGTTGAAAATCTAAAAATAGCTGCACGCTTGCACTTAAAAAGAAGCTGAGGTTTTAAAAGCTATCCATTTATTTTGTTAACAAGCAAAAAGTTCAGTTACTTGGGATAGCACTTCAGCTTCCTACACTTATTTTTATAATGGAAAAATGTGCCTACCTCAGGAATAATTCAAATGAATTTCCAGCTGGTTTGAAAGAGAGAGAAAACCTAACCACCCCCTCCCCCCATTAATCCACCTACTCCCTGCAACCAGAGATCACACTTTTCTGTCCCACTTCCCAATTACATTTATGAAGTTTCTTCATCCATTTGGTTATCACAGTTAAGTTTGTTGCACACTAAACCCTGTAATGGTTCACAGAATACTTTTCAGAGGACGGAATTTTCCTTTGATTGTTCCCAGGTTCTCTAAAGCTGCTTTAAAAAAAAAACGATGACACTTGTAGCAGAATAGCTATAATTCTTTTTTTGTAAAGAGAAAATTGCTGGTTTGAAATCTGACTTTTTAAAATTACTTTTTTTCTTTCCTTGAGCTTCCTACGTTTCCCTGTGCTTAAGAAAACCTCTAGTGTATTCTTCTCATCTTTTTTTTTAGTTACCTGAAAAAGAAAGATTTTACGCTCCTTAGGTATTTTCTACCATATCCATATACTAGGTTAAAAGCAAACAACTGCTACAACATTTACAGGTGACACCTCAATTAATCCTAAAAAGTCTTCTGCAACAAGTCCATTTTAATTAACTTGTGGAAGGATGGGGTCTATCTTGTTTCCAAAGGGTGACAGTTCTCCAATTCCAGCGTCGTTATTGGAAAACAATGCTTCTTGTCCTCAACCTCTTTGACTTCCAGAAAATGGGGTGCAACAAGCAGTTTTGTCAAGGATGACTGGCTTGGATAGGTCAACTGCAGTTGGAGAAAGCTTCCCACAGCAGCCTTCATGGATTTTAGCCGAAATGTAAATTTGAGATTGAAGCTGCTTATTGTGTGGTTTAATTTTTCACTCAATTTTTAAACCTAGCCCTATTCTTTAGTTCTAAAGTGCAGGGCCATATTTTACATTTATGACAGCAAATGGGGTCTCTTAAATAGAATGCAATGAAAATAATTAAAAAGATTGTACTTTAATGTTGGAAAGACATTGCAAGTCTGAATTGTTGGTATTTCTGCCCATGAATTCTCTATCAGTGTAATAGAAAAACTGTTCAATACTGTAGTATTCCATGTGGTCACAGTGTAATTATGTATTTAAAGATTGGGCTAAGTAATCTTTTCTTTATGTAATATATCTTCTTGTTTTCCTTTTTTTTGTGGGCTTTTTTATTGAACAATATATTAAAGCAATAAAAGAAAAGGAGTTAGGTCCCCTCTTGTGCTAACAAGGTCCTATCATCTCCTGACAATCTAGTCTTCTACTAAATCTGATATCCCCAGACCATAAGTGAAACGAATAGTTTTGAGTTATACTGGGTTTCAAGTAGTATGAAACCAAGGCTCTTTTACCACAGCTTCATGATATCCAAATAGTATCATGCTTGCTCATAGAGCAGAGGTGTCAAACTCAATTTCATTGAGGGACGCATCACGGTTGTTTGACTTCAGGGGGCCGGGGTGGCCATGGCCAGCTTGACATCACTCGGGTCAGGGGCACCTGTGGTGGCCCGTGTGCTCTTGAAGCCCTCCCGAGCTCCATTTTCACCGGCAGTGGGTTGCAGGAGACCATTCCAGCTGAAAACGGAGATTGGGATCCCATTTTCGCTGGCAGAAGCACCATAGACCGATCCTTCACTCTTTCCAGGGCAGCCCCGTGGGCCGGATCCAAGCTCCCCACGGGCCAGATCTGGTTCCCGGGCCTTGAGTTTGACACCCCTATCATAACATATCTAGGAGAGGTCAGGTGACCTGCTGTGGATGTGATCAGAGATAAAATTTGGCAGTTTTGAAAGGCCCAAACCTGTTCCTGCTGGTCTTAGTGAGGACCTGATGCAGCCATTGTCCTCTAAATGTTTCCTTCATTCATTAGAATAACTGAATAACAGAATTGGAAGGGACCTTGGAGTCTTCTAATCAAATCCCTTGCTATTTCAAACAAATGGTTGTCCAATCTCTTCTTAAAAACTTCCAGTGTTGGAATACTCACAACTTCTGAAGGCAAGTCATTCTACTGATTAATTGTTCTAACTGTCAGGAAATTTCTCCTTATTTCTAGGTTGGTGTTCTCCGTGATTAGTTTCCATCCATTGCTTCTTGTTTTGCCTTCAGGTGCTTTGGAGAATATGTTTACCCCCTCTTCTTTGTGGCAATCCCTTAGGTATTGGAGGACTGCTATCATGTCACCCCCTTCTTCTCATTAAACTAGATATACCCAATTAGCTTGTTGTTGAGTGATTTTTGTGACCTTCAACATGTCTCCTCTTTCCATTTTTGACACAGATTTCCTACCAAGCTTTGAATGAAGGCCAGAAGAACAGAGTCCCACTACTTCTTTTCAGGAAGAAAACTTGTATCAGTGCTATTTCTTTATAATATTCTGAAAGAGTAGATCTTCAAAGTTCCATAGGGGAGAAGAAGCTCTTTTTTTTTTTTTTGTATTATTCTGCTTTAACAGTATCCTGAAATATATCTAGGGACATAGATCAATGTTTCTTAACCATTTTTCTCTCAGGACTCTTTTCTATTTTAAAAAATTATGGAGGACCCCTTAAAAGTTTTTGTTTGTATGGGTTATATTTATTATATGAAATACTAAAATTTCTGCATTCACTGTTGCTACTGCTTCTCATGTTGACTGATGGGATTTTATTATTGTATTATTTTTCAACATAGGCTGGCAAATAATCTATCTCATGGACCCCGACTGGATCTTGGGGGAACCATAGGGATCTTACAACCATACTTTAAGAAACACTGATATAGATCTTTCTACCTATGCTTGTTCAAAATAATGAGATTTTCAAGTGGAAAATCTGCTGCTTATGTATCCAATTCAATTCCTTCCAGACCTCCCCCCCCCCCCAATAAAATAGTTCACTTTCAATACTGCTAGGTGCCTTGTCTTGCCTTGTGTGTCTGGTCTTATGTCCCCATATTTATTTGCCAGGAGAGTTTTCTTAATGTTTCTCAACATTAAGAAAACTAAGATCATGGCATCCGGCCCTCTCAATTCCTGGCAAATAGATGGGGAAGAAATGGAGATAATGACAGATTTTATTTTCCTGGGCTCCAAGATCACCGCAGATTTCTTGACTGCAGCCAAGAAATTAAAAGACGCTTGCTCCTGGGGAGGAAAGCTATAGCAAATCTAGATAGCTTACTAAAAAGCAGAGACATCACCCTGCTAACAAAAGTGCATATAGTCAAGGCTATGGTTTTCTCAGTTGCAAACTATGGCTGTGAAAGTTGGACCATAAGGAAGGCTGAGAACCAAAGAATTGAGGCCTTTGAACTATGGTGCTGGAGAAGACTCCTGCGAGTCTCTTGGACTGCAAGGCGATCAAACCGGTCAGTCCTAGAGGAGATCAACCCTGATTGCTCTTTAGAAGGCCAGATCCTGAAGATGAAACTCAGATACTTTGGCCACCTAATGAGAAGGGAGGACTCACTGGAGAAGAGACTAATGCTGGGAATGACTGAGGGCAAAAGAAGAACAGGAAGACAGAGAACGAGGTGGCTGGATGGAGTCACTGAAGCGGTCGGTGTGAGCTTAAATGGACTCCAGAGGATGGTAGAGGACAGGAAGGCCTGGAGGCCCCCATGTCCATGGGGTCATGATGGGCACGACTTCACAACTAACAACAACAACAATTTTAACTTGTGAAACACTCAGAAGGACATGAGAATAAGGAGCAGAGTGGATTCTAAAAACAGTTGCAAGGAACCTGTCCCAAACTACTGTAGTAAGAGATGCTTAACAGTGTGAGAGATTTGAGCTAGTGCCCCTCATATCATAAGGTACATCTCTTTCACCACCTGTAAGATTCTGTCTCTTTTTTTTATTTGCATGCCTTAAGCCTCCATGAAAATACCACTCAGCCAGATGATGACTACCTAATGAGATCTGCATGTATGTTTCTGGAGTGCTTTAAGGTGTCACCATGATTGTTGTCACTAAGATTACAGCTACTATTGTAAAAGCTTTCCCCTAAGCCTAAGGAGACCCACATTCCCTGATTGTTTCCCTTCAGCCTCTCCTTGGTTCCGAGGAATTGCGTTGCTCTTCTCTGCGTCCAGCCGAGAGTATCTCCTCTCTACTACGAGGTGCGCTTTGGTATTTCAGCTCGCGCTTTCGTTATGGATTGGCCGTGTATGGATTCCGGTCCCTCTCCCCGACGGCACGGCAGCGTTGCCGGGGTAGCTCGAACAGTGACTCATCTTGCTTCTGAATGGCAACCCGGGGCTTTAAAACGGCTCCGGCGACCGCAGCTCGAGCTCTCCTGTTCTTCTTCTTCTTCCCGTTGCTGCTGTCCGGAGGGAGCCTCTAGCCGAGTACTCCGCGCACGGAGAGCTGGCGACGCAGCCTCGGGACAGACAGAACAAAAATACAAGAGGACGCCATGAAAAGCCTGCCCTGCCTTCCCTTCCTCTTTCTGCTTTTCTGCTCGGGGGACTCGGCGGTCATCACTGGGGTGAGAGCCGGGCGACCGCCCATCTGGGCAAGAATGGCCGGGACGGACGCCTCTTCCGACGGTTTTAGCAGGCGGGGGAACACGGAGGGTCGGCTCCGTCCCGTCTGAAGCTGCGGTCCATTTTGGCGGGAAAAATCGAAGATCGCCCCGAAGGTCGGGATGACGCTGAGCCCAGAGGGCAGGCAAAGCAAGTAGTAGGAAGAAGCAATGCGCGCTAATCATGGTCCCCTCTATTTAAATATATATATTGGTGGAGCTATAGGGGCGCTTTTTTTTTTTTGGAAAGAGTCCAAAGCGGGTGAGAAATTTAAGAGTTGCCCGGGGGTGAGGGGAGAGAATATACAACGTGCTCTGAGAAAGTGAAGCTAAGCGCGGCGCTATTAGATGTAGAGCTGCCATTTGCCTGAAAGTCGTTGGAAAGATTTGGCTGGGAGCGGGGGGAAGGGGTAGAGGAGGGAAGGATCGGGGCTGCAGATCTTGGGCTGGTGCTTCGCTTTGTGGGGGAGGGTGGGATAGTGGGCAGATACGAATTGTCAAGGCTGGTTGCAGAGGCGGGGGGATTAGTTCAAGATGGGAGGGCTGGTGGAACAGGAGAGGCGGGTGCCTGTCCTTGAGCCTAAAATGAGTCTCTCGTTGAATACCTGCTGAGGGCCAGACTGTTCGTCCCTGAGGCTTTGTCAAGAGGTGCATATTGGGGCGGGGAAAGCTCTGATGAAGTGGTTTTTTTGGGGGGGGAAGGGGGTCGGGGTGAGCACGTGCTCGTAGCCTCCTTAGTTGCTGCGGAAACTTCCAAGCGGGGCTTTCCCCGCGGCGGTTTCCGCGTTGCTTTTAAAGACCAAGGAGGTTTGCCCTTGTTGCCACAGGCGATTGGATCTAGTCTGTTTCAAGGACTCAAGAGAGCTCGTTGTTTTCCCCCACCCCACCCCCCCGCTCCTTGCTCCTATCTCACTTAATTCTCTCTCTATATATATATCTAATAGAGAGGCTTAAAAGTAACAGAATGACAGAGTTGGAAGGGACCTTAAGATAACAGGAACAGAGTTTGGAAAGGACCTTGAAGGTCATCTAGTCCAACCCCCTGCTCAGGCAGGAGACCTATACTAGGGATTTGAACCACCGAACTGCTGACCTTTCTGATCGACAAGCTCAGCCTTCACCCCTGCTCAAATGTTATAGAGACACTAAATGTCTGTGGATGCCTATTTAGAAATTTATAAATCTCTGTTTTGAGCTGAAGAAGCTTCTTGGATGAGAAGCAAAACGTCTTCAAAGAAAAAAACCCAGAAAGTCTAATTGCCTCTTGAAAAAGCACATTTGGGTACAGAGACACTGTAACATTTCAGACAAATAGTTGTCCAATCTCTTCTTAAAAACCTCCAGTTTTTAACAACTTCTGGAGGCAAGTTGTTCCACTGATTAATTGTTCTAACTAAATAAAATAAATATTATTAAATAAATTAGCTTTAAGATGTACTGTAAAAATTTAGAGTCCTTCTCAACCATTGAGTTGAAGTGCTTTCTAGCCATCTTTGACTCAGCAGAAAACCATGAAAGGTGCTGCCCCAGTCCTGATCCTTATACTAAACTGGATCTGTTGCCGCAGTTTCAAATCCCTGCAGCTATCAGAAACCATCCAAGGTAATGGGTGACAAAGCCTAAGAGATTATATGTGCCTTCGGGATGCCCTTGTTCAGGGTTGCAATAAGTGCAAAATTTATATATCAAATGTATCTTACCTTCACACCAGTTACAGGAAAGGAGTACTTATTTAAGGCTGCCTCGTTTATGGAATGGGATGAAGGGAACACTGTGGGAATATGAAAGGAAAACAATGTTGCCAATGAATGTTTGTATGCGCATACATACAGTTGAGAATATAGTCTTAGCTGATGCAAATGTGCAAGGGAACATAGTTTAATTTAATTTATTTCCAAATAAACATTGGAATGGCAACAAAGTGAATTTGCTTCCCTGCCATAGTGTATTGCAAAAATTCCTTTCTGAGATAATAATAATAATAATAATAATAATAATAATAATAATAATAATAATGTAGAACAGAAAGGATGCTGCAAAAACTCAAGAGGAACAAAAGATCAATTGCTGATCGACAAGATAATCCTAAAGAACTCAAAGAAAAGACGAACCAACCTGTTCATGGCTTGGATAGACTATAAGAAAGCATTTGATTCAGTTCCCCATAGCTGGATCAAGAAATGCCTGGAAATATTAGGCATCAGCAGCAACATACAAAAATTCATGGAATCTTCAATGAACCTCTGGAAAACAAAACTTATGGCTAATGAAGAAGAACTGGGTGAAGTTGAAATTAAACGAGGCATTTTCCAGGGCGATTCCCTTTCACCCCTACTTTTTATACTCTCAATGCTACCACTGACAATCATTTTGAAGAAGATGAACTGTGGATACGAACTTGCAAAGAAAGGACTGAAAATCTCGCACTTGATGTACATGGATGATTTGAAGCGGTTTGGTAAAACAAAAGCTGAACTGAATTTATTAATTGAAAACACAAAAGAATTCAGCCAAGACATTGGTATGCAGTTTGGAATTGACAAATGTGCAACAATAGCAACCAAAGCAGGCAAGATCATAGAAGAGGATGGAATAGAACTAGAGAATGAAGAAATGATAAAGGCAGTAAAATCAGAAGAAGGCTACAAGTACTTGGGAATTTTAGAAGCCTCTGACTTAATGCATAATAAAGTCAAGGAATTAACTTCAGCCAAGTACATTCGACGAATTCGTAAGATATTAATGTCCAAATTGAGTGGAGGAAACATCATAAAAGCCATAAATACCTGGGCTATACCTGTGATTAGATACTCTGCAGGAATAATTGACTGGACCCAGATGGAGTTAGACAATTTGGACAGAAAAACAAGGAAGCTTATGACAATGAATCATTCCTTGCACCCTAAAAGTGATGTTGACCGATTATATTTACCAAGAGCAGAGGGTGGTCGAGGACTCCTACAAGTAAAGCAGACTGTGGAAGAAGAAAAATCCAGCTTGAATGATTACATCCAGAAAAGTGAAGAACCAATGATTAAGGAAGTAAATAAAGGAGGCCTTTTAAAGACAACTAAAACAAAAGCAGAATATAAGAAAGAAGTAACTGAGCAGCGAGCTGAAAATTGGAAACACAAAGCTCTGCATGGCCAATACTTGAAAAGTATTGAAGGCAAAGCTGACCAGAAACTAACTTGGAACTGGTTAAGATCAGGAGTACTGAAAAAAGAAACAGAAAGCTTTATTTTGGCAGCTCAAGAACAAGCCCTAGCCACAAACTGTATGAAGGCAAAAATTCAACATGTTACCACCAACAGCAAATGCCGCCTCTGCAATGAAAAAGAAGAGACAGTTGACCACCTGATCAGTGGGTGCAGCAAAATTTCACAAACTGAGTACCTACAACGCCATGACCGTGTTGCTAAAATCATTCACTGGAAATTGTGCCAGAAGTTTGGATTTGAGTACAGCAAAAACCACTGGGAACATCAGGTTGAGAAAGTTTTAGAGAATGAGAAACTCAAGATCTTGTGGGACTTTAGGATTCAGACTGACAGGCACTTGGTCCACAACACACCTGACATAACAATAGTTGAAAAGAAAAAAGTATGGTTCATTGACATTGCAATACCTGGTGATGCACGAATTGAAGATAAGCAGCAAGAAAAAATCACAAAGTACCGGGACTTACAAATTGAAGTTGAGCGACTGTGGAAAAAGAAATCGTGTGTTGTCCCGATTGTAATTGGAGCCCTCGGAGCAATACCCAAAGGGCTACCCCGCTATTTAGAAATTCTAAATTTGCCCGACTTGAACATTTTGACTCTACAAAAAACCACCTTACTCGGAACAGCTTACATCCTCCGACGATACCTTAACAGTTCCTAGGTCCTTGGTTAGGACTCGAGCTGCTGAGCTATTAACCAGCCTCAAAGGCTGTGAATCTCACTAAAGATTAACCAATATAATAATAATAATAATAATAATAATAATAATAATAATAATAATAATAGGTTTTACTTCTTCTGTTTTCCAGATTCCCCCCACTCCCCATGCATCTAAATTCAATTTTGCAAACTTTCCAAAATGTTGCAAACTTTCCAAAGGCTTTGTTAAAAGAGCTGGCAGTTCCAGATTTCCTTGCCCATTCATGTATCATTCTGTGAAAAACTGCAAAAGGAAAGCAAAAGTCTGGGCATAATTTTGAAAGGCTTTTCATTGCCATTCATTCATCAGTGTATATAGAGTCTGGATATATCAGACGGGTTTTGCGAATGTGTCATATTTCACTGCAATGTGAAAAACTAGGCTACAGTCTGTTAGCTTTCTAAAAATTTCCCAGGTTTCTCCTTGGTTAAAGATTCTATTATTCCTAACAATATAAATATTACATAGTTTTCTAAGCCCCATAACTGCTTTATGGAAGAATTATGTGCGTTGTGTATTTTTTTAAATTTTTAAATAGCTTAGATGTTCACTGTGCACAGTTTTTTTCAGTCTCCTGCCTCCTGTGCAATTTGCTTGTTAAGCCATGCAGATATTAACAACATGGATATTTTACATACACCAGTACTTCGGGTGGCATAGATCACTAGCCTACTGTGCAGTATTAATGAAATTAAGACATCCATACACCCTATTCTGTATACAGGCAGTCCTTGACTTACAACTGTTTAACGAGGGTCCACAATTATGAGGGCATTGGAAAAGATGATTTCCAGCTTGTAAAGCATTTCTGACCATCGTAAAATGTCACACCACCACACACCCATGATCAAGTGATCACAGTTCATGTCCTTGGCAACTGGTTCACGTTTATGACCGGTGTGATCATGTCTTGCTAATTTTTGCCAGTTTCTGGCAAAATAATGGCAAAAAATGCCATTTGTGAGGGTTGATTTGTACTTATTTTCCCAATAACAACCCTGTGAGGTGGATTGGGCTGAAAGTGACTGGCCCAAAGTCAC